ACAGGCCACCTAATCTTCTTGTCTAGCTATGGCGATAGGAGAAAATTTTTATACGTAATTTAAAAGGTTTCAAAGGGTGAATAAGATGGAAAACAAATTTTCTTGATAAGAAATGGCAAATAAAAATTTTCCAGAATCCATGGACATTTTAAGGTCGTATTATTACGCATGTTTGCTACAACGTACACTACATAGAAAAAATATGTATATTCATGTAAAGAAACCTTGAAAAATTAATTCATCCAAAATACATCAATTCGTAAAAAAGTTCATCCCTTGAAATTATGTAAATTACTTACAAAAGTTTTCTCCTATCACTATAGCTAGAGAAGATAATTAGATGGCCTATTTTATATAGCTCACCCTGTATCTGTACGGTTGCTTCTTATTTCGTAATCGAAGTTTAATAACACGATATCGAAATGTTAGTCACCTGTGACAATGGGAGTGACAAAACATGTTACGCTTGTCAGGTAAATCTGGAACATGTTAAAGAAACGCAGAAAAAGGAGTTCTTTCCTTGTGACAGAATTCGAAAGAAACTCTGCTGCTGTAATTACGGTGTCTGGTATTTTGTTCAAATTGAGTGACGAGAAAATAACGTCGAAGTATTTAGGAAAGGAAAGCAGCTCTGTTTTCTGTGAAAGTAGGTCTGTGATTTAATTTGTGAAATTGCGACGGAGTGTTATCTGCCCTAAAAGAGGATGACACACTGTTAAATTAAAGAATCACTCTGAAATCCACCATTCTCTATTTTATGTAACTGAAGAATTTTTCTTCGAATTTACAAGATACATTTCATGTTTTCGTCGCAATTATAACACACATTATCATAAATAAATGGAGCATTGAATACATAAATAAGTAAGTCTGATTGGAATCACGTGTATCAACGTGCACAGTCGCCAAGCATTATGTTACCTATGAGTTCGAAAACGTGCAAACATCATGTATAGCAGAAACACTATTACAGCAGTCTATCTACCGAAACAATCATGTTTGTCCAATTTGGTCCCCCTTTATTTTCTCCTATATTTCTAATTTTTTTCATACTCCAAAAAATAGGGTAACATCTTTCGATAAATTCTGCCTATCAGTGACGATGAATTGAAACAACCATAATATCGATTCACAAATCAATTTTAAACATTGTTTCTCTTAAAATATAAAGGTTAATTTCTTCTTTCATACAACATTTAAACGAATTTCCACGGAGTAACGATTTTTTAACTCACGGATTAATTTCGGTATCCTTTGGTAGCAGAACATCTTCACTTCCTGTACCCTTGGGAATTCTAAAGACACTAATGGCAATTGTTAGATCACCGAAATTTTGACAGTCACAAAAATTACTGTTTCGTCGAGTTTCGACGAATTTAGTGCAGTTCCGGGCGTCTTCGTCGACGACCGTTCGTGCACTGACCGCAGCAGAGCTCGATTCGTCGGAGACCTTTTTTTCGAACTGCTCCCTGAAATCGTCGAATGATAGCTGCTAGTTGCCGCCTATGGTTAGATAAGAAATCGGATCATTCATGTTGAGGCAGTAATGATTTATCTGTTGGAAGCGTGCGCGGGTGGCTCCTCGCTACCGGAAATTACTATCGGAACTGTTACCACTCTATTAACGCTGATTAATCTGAAATTTTCCATATATTCCACTGTTCTAATCGTTTCATCGGTTCGTAACAATTTCCTGCCATTCTTCTTATATTTTTCGATTTATGCCGAAAATATGATGTTATGTCTACGTTGAAGAAATTGATGTCGAAGGATTGAACGACGATAAGACATTTTAGTATTAAGTGTTAAATGTGATAAAATTTTGTTTAGTCTCCTTGTTCTTAAAACTTTGGTAATTGATTGTCATTCTTATTTGTTTATTATTAAGAATGAATCAGCTGACAATTTGTTCGTATGCGACGAGTGTTACGTAGTAGAAGGCCAGTGATTACGCCTATAAAAGACTCGATTTTATCGTTGTTCATAAGCATAGTACAATGTTAAAGCGATAAGTCGAGAAACTCGATTATACATCTAAGGTGTGAATTTTCACGACTGTTTCAATCAACCAATCAATCAATCAGTCACTGTTTACGTTGTGCGGCAGGTAGAAGTGACGTATTTGAAAACAAATCTTTTATTCCAGCTAGAGAACACGTAAGCATACAAATGTCATCTCTTATTGTGAACTCTACAAATTTTGAATCTTTTTTCTCCAAAATAATTATTATATTCACTCAGAAATTTGCAATAAATTCTCTGTGCAAAATATTTTACTCTCTTAGTAACTCTGTGCAAAATATTTCCCTCTGTTTGAAACTCCGTGCAAAATATTTTACTCCCCTGAAAAATATAGCAACACGAGATTTGCCACGAGACAGCTCTGTGTGAAGTAATTCGGTGGATTTATTATTACTTGATTAAGTACTCTATCAACAAGATGTAATCTGTCAACAGAGAATTTCACTTAACCTGTAATTACAATCTTCATTAAAACGGTATTTTAGTGGAAGCATCGAGCTGAGACTACTTTCAGTCCTATTAGGATGCTTCAACTCACCTCGCTTATTAGTGGTCGACTACCAACATTCTTTCAGTACAAGCAAGTCGTGCAAGTTACTTAGGTACTCGTTTGTTCCTACCTTTTATCGTCTGCTCGGATAAAACGGTTCGCGAAAAGATCCTCTAGGCAGCCGAAACTAGCGGAAACCCCTTTTCCCTTATGCAAAATGGAGTATACCTTTCTACGTAACGTAATTCTGGATCACTTTTGTGGATTAGGGTGTCCCTTTAGCAGAATTTTATCCTCTGCACCACTTCTACATTTTAACGAAGTGTATAAAGGACGATGTAACAAATTGTACTTATTTTTTCTAATTCACTGGTGCAGCAGTATTTTTTTTTTAATTCAATCAGTTACCCCTTGCTACGATTTTTTTATTTTATTCACATTTTTTTTCAATTTTTCAAGCTTAAAATATTTGATTTGTTTAGTTTCTGTGATTCTCAATGGTCAGAAATTCATTTTATTCTTTCTTATCAGATTCCTGAGCTTCACGTTGGTACTTCTTGATCTGTTCCTTATCCTTTGACGTTAGTTTCACACCTAGTGGACATAATAGGCTGATAAAAATAATTACTTGCAAATATTATTCTTCTTATATATATGTGATAGTCAATCTTATCTTAAGCCTGAGTCACCCCTTGTTTTTCCCTACTTTCCACAATTGCTCACCCGAATACTCATCCCTTGTTTCTCAAACAACGAAGAAACTAGCCTAAATCAACGATTTTTAATCTCCTTTATCTCACAGCACACATAAACTAATTACTAAAATTCTACGGCTCAGTTCGTCACACATACGTCAATAATTGGTCAACGTTCTTTCAATTATTTTGTCACATTCGTTGAATCGCAAGCGAATTGTACTTGCATATCACGCGACAATGATTTGTCCACTGTTCCGAGTGTCTAAATTATGTGCGTGAAAATACACGGAGATATCTCCGGTGCAATTGAACGCTATTGAAAACGTTAATTTGATCGAATTATCGCCAGACAATTTATTGCACGAAATAAACGTTTCTCATTTTTGTTCTTTTTCGATTACGTTAATATTACCTGCGAGACATATTTCACTGTCGAACGAGCAAACACTGTCACAGTCGCTGTCGTCCACATTTGATTCACGAGACAATATCCCCTTTTTGCCTTTCGTGCACGGTTTTCTTCTGCGAGGTGTTTTGCTTGACGCTTCCGCGGAAACACGAAAGAAGAGCAAGTATTATAATACTAACTGGTTTTGTCGCAACAACGCTTTCTTCAGAAAAACCGATTATATGTAATTAATGTTACGCAAAGAACGGATCGTAAGTTCGCACTGAATGAGAAAAAATTAATTAACTCGTTCTTAGAAAATTTCACGAAACATGACGTTCAATTTTTCAACAAAAACGACGATTAGAGAAAAAAATTAAAGTTTCTCAAGAAATTGTGCAAAATTTACATAAAAAAATAAACCAGAACTTACAAGCAGTTTGCAGATTTTCCGGTGCAATGTCAAATTTCGACATACTAGCTCCTAGGCAAGCAGTATGACGAGGATTGAGAAGGTATTCTCTCTTCTCTATTGGTGGTTTTATACACTTTAACATTAGATCACCCAGCGACACGTGTTTTACTATATGCCTGATCTTTTGTGTTGGTGACTTCGTCGGTTTCTTCTTTTTCTTCTTGCATTTTCGATAATTGATTTTCAGCACTGTTTTAATTGGAGCCTGTTCTATTTCATCCTCATCAACGCAGTCAACCACTGGCTCTTTGCGTTTTCGTCTCTTCTCTTCTTCCTCGGTTTTCTTCGATTTCTTTGCTTGTTCCTGTTTCCATTTTCTGTACTTGTGACAATCATCTTTACGTTGCATACTTTTTAACGAGAAAATTAGTGGAAAGCTTCTTCAGAAAATTGGGCATTTAACGTCTGTTGGTTTGATAGGTGAATTGATAATGGAACATGTTTCTTATGGTTCTGTAGACGAACATTTTGATTGTCTTTTAGAGTACATAACTGATTTGTTATGTTAAATTCATGTCGAATTTTGAGAAGGTTTCTTCAGGGTTGAAATTATACATGGTTACATTTTTTAATCCTCGTGAATCTGGCAGGAGGTCTACGATAAATCCTCGTCGTTTGTTTCTCATATACTTCACTTCACATCGTACTCTGTGTCATTCTCGATAGCTAAATTAAACAAACATGTCAAAATTTTAAGTAACGCAGAAAATACATAAAAATGAAAATTTTTAGTATTTATTGACGTTGGGAAAATTGTATGCACACATGATTGCTGAATTAAAATGAAATTTCTGATAAGCTTTCCAAAGAAGATGTAGGTTATACATCAAACGAAATGTGTCTTTAAAGTACTAGGAATAGATACAAATTTATTTGTTATTTCGAAATCGTTCGAATTCCCAAGTTAAGTAAGGTAAAACCACCGAAATGGACGAAGACAAGAAACTTAGAGAGAAATCGGTGTTCGAGATAGACCGAGAGAAGCGGCAAATGTTTAGAGAGAAATTAAAACAGCTCGCAGAATGTGACGAGGTCGTTTCCTCAGAGACGATAAACGCTATTGGTCGAGTGACGGATGTCGTTCGAGCCGCTGACGATAATGCTCCCAGTAGCGACGAACTCGACGAGGAGCTCGAAGAGCAGTATAAAGATCTGAATCTTTACCTCGATTTACCGAATGACACGTACTCTTTGACAGAAATTAGACCAGAACTTCCATCGTGCGTCAGATATGGCGTTCGAGCAGGATTGACTCATATCAATATGCCAAAATTTTCACCGTTATCCAGGGGTCATCAGGTACACGAAATTTCAACGATGTAGGATTGTCTTACCTTAACTCTTACAGGGCGATTTTATGAATTCTTCAGTCATGTTTCTTCTTTTTCATTTTTTCCTTGAAACAGTATAAAATTTAGGGTGTCGCCGTTTTATTGGAAAATTTTGAAAATTAAAAAGTTATATCAAAATGTTTAATCAAGGGAAAACAGTAATCGTAATCTTCTATCATTGGTACATCGCGCGAACCCTGTGTTAAAGAATATCCTTGTTTGTCTAACACAAGTTTTATTTCCGTTGACTTGGATCACATAATCTATGTGGCGCGGAACCTGAATTAACGACGACGATTACGTGAATCTCATTAGAACTGGTTTCCTCCAGGGTTGTCGGAATTAAAATTCAATCCGATATTCAATATCCAACCTTTCCGATTAAATTTAATCGGAACTAAGATAGCCACTTAAAAAATAACCACGTACAATTTCAAATCTAAGATAATTCACAGATTAGGAAGAATTTTAGTTATGACACTCTAAGTATACAATTTACCCAATCCAACGTCTGTCCGTCTTGTGATAGATCTTTCGATCGTGACGATAAAATTTCTACCACCATAATTTTTCCTACTTTATATGTTTACAAAGATAAAGTCACGTTAGATCGACAGATTCGATTCTAATCTCTGTTGATTCTATCACTGTTATCCGTCGTTTTACCGATAGGGAGGAGCAACAGCGATCGCAGCATTCGCAGCCACAACGATCTACAAATCCCGTTGCTGGAACGAAGCTGTCATCGATCAAATAATCGAGGATGGGGACACGTTTTACTGTGAATCGTACAAAGACGTTAACACCGACGATCGACGACTCCTCTCGATCCTCGACTTAACGAGGACACTCGTCGTACAAAACAGGCTGACGGTGAACGTCAGCATCGAGGATGCCGCTTACGCGGGCAAATTTCGCTCCACAGAGCCCACAGAGTTGCATCTAGTGAAGGCTCTAGACTTATTTTTCAAACGTTACAACGCTGGAATTCTGTCTTCCTCCGTGTTGAACGTGGCGATTTGGAAGGACGCGAAGTACTACAACGTATTCGACGGCCAAGCGAGAAAGGAGAATTGCGAACCAGCTCCCGATGGAGTCAGTGGAACGGCCAAACTGTTCCTCGTCAAGGATTTGATAGGACTCCTCTTCATTGTCCTAGAAAAAAGCAACGTGCAAAACGAGCCCTTCGTTCTCTACGCTATAGCAATCAGCGGCGTGGATCATTATACTCAGCCAGTCGACACTGACAAGCAGGAAACGATTCACCAACTCCCTCAGAGACGACCGAGTGGTTACAAAGTGCAAGAGAAGTATCGAGCAGTTGTTCAAGGCTCTTATCACGTCACACACCCGGCGATTCCAGCACCTCTTCGTGGCAAAACCTACATGATCATAGCTCTGGCTGCTCTAGTCTACTCGCGCTTGGTAAACGCGAATAAATGGACCAGCGCTCTGGTCGACCTGATTTTCAATCAATCGAACATCTACTTCGTCGATCTGGTTCGCGTGCTCGATAAAAATTTGACCGACGAGGAATTCGTTCTTCGTCTGGACGATATCATGGGCGATATCATTCTTGGCGCTTATTCCGCCAAGGTGAAGATTCGAACGAACGTCGTTCCTGGATACGGTCAGAAGAAGGGGAAACTTGACATCTCCGATGGAATACGCGAGTTCTTCCTGTCCCAGGTAACCGGTTTGCTCGAGATGAAGAGTTTCTTCTACGCGATTTGGAAGCACGACGATACTTACTACTTCATGGACCCTTTCGCCTGCGACGACGAAGGGTTCAGGAGTGGAATGGCCGAGTTGGACGGCTACTTGAAGCCTGGAGAGTCAGCGTGCGTGACGATGAACAGTTCGATCAATCAGATGGTGGAGACCATCATGGAGAACACTGGTAGCAGAGACAGAGATCCTTTCACGATCCACGGAATCAGGGTGCTGTACGTGAAGACAGGAACCACGCCTGGTGGACCGTTGGAGAAGGTGATCTATCGAGAAAAGGGTACGAATCGTAGGCCACAGGCTCCGCCAACTGCGTTACCAACGTATACGACGAAGATGGACGACGCTGTGGATATGAAACCGAGGATACGAGCTGATAGGGATAAAATGAGAGACGTCGCAGTCCAGGTGCCTGATTTGATAAGGAACGCCGAGTTGTACATGATGACAGACGACGAACCGTTGACTTACGTGATCGTGCCGCCGGAAGAGAAGAAGGAGCCTGAAGAGGAAATTGGCGAAGAAGAAGAGGAGGAAGAGGAAGGGGATATGGAGAGGTGGAGAGCCGAGGCTGGAGATTTGACGGAGGACGAGGACGAGGACGAGAGGACCGAGGTAACCGAGGAGAAAGAAGCTGTCGAGGAGCCAATCGTGAGGAAGGTCAAGGGCTACAGAGTGATAAATCCTCAACGTTTGGTTCTTCAGGGCTCGAAGAACTGTCTGGATCCGAGTTTCGCCCCAAAGTCCAGAGGCAAGCAAGGATTAATAGCAGCTCTATCAGCTCTGGCTTACAGGAAACTAAAGGAACCCACGAAGTGGCGAAATATGGATATCGATCAGCTGGTTGACGTGAGCAACAAAATTTACGACGATGTTGTAGATTGGATCAGGAAAGGACGTCCTGAGATAAAGGAGATTAAAGATGAAATGATGGGCGAGGGAGAGGAGGAGGAGGAGGAGGATCTGGAGGCTGAGGGAGAAGGAGAAGAGGGAGAGAAATTGCTTCCTATACCGAGTCACTTGGACTTGACGATGTTACCGGTCAGATTAAAAATGGGGGAAAATGACGTGTTCTTCAAGGCGAAGATGAAGATCGTTCAAGGAGAAGCGAGTCCTTTGGCGAATCTCGCCGAAGCTCTCGAATGTTATTTCAATCGATATCCAGAATTGGTGTTGGAGAATAAGAGACTGATGTACGGTGTCTGGAAAGAGGGTTCCTCTTTCTTCATGTTCAATCCTTACGGAAGTGACGCCGAGGGTTGGCGTCTTCGCGACTATCCCGCTTCGTTCGCGGTGGCAGCTAATCTGAACGAACTGACCGATCTTCTTTACGGTGTCATGGAGTTCAACGATCCATCTTTCGTCATTCACTTCGTGGGCTTGGACTCGATACAGCCAGGACTGTACGCCGTGGACGAGGAGATAATAGTTCCGGAGGACGATACGATCGAACAGTTTAAAACGAGATTCCTGCCGATCACGGACGAGGATCTGGCCAAGTTGGACGCTGAATTGAGGGCAGCGGAGGAGGACGAAGAGGAGTCGGAATTGGATATAGTCGATATGATGGACGAAGAGGAGGAGGAGGAAGAGGAAGAGGAGGACGAAGGACGTAAGAGAACTGCGAAAGGTTTTCTCGAGGAGGAAGAGAAACCTATAATCGATCCTTTGCTAGAAGTTAACGAACAGGAACAACCTGACGCTCCTTACAGGTTAAATTTAATCCTACTCACGTCCAATATGAAGGTTCTCGACGACAGCGAGGAACACATCGACGAGGTGCACGAACAGATAGAATTAGAGAAATTAAAGTACAATCATCCTCCACCTTACGTTATGCCATCCGGTAAAACCTTGTTGAAGCTCCTCGAAGCGAAACGAGCCAAGAGATCCATCCCGTCCTTGGTATCGAGGTTCTCCATAGACTCGAGATTGGACGTGAAAAAGAAGGGTGGCTTGTCCTCGATCTTTCTGGCCAGATCGACGATGGTCATGCCGTCTGGCATTATAGAGGACGCGAAACCTTCGAAGATGATCAAACTGTCTCCGAAGAGATATCTGTATTCCAGACTTTTGCCGATCTGTCTGATGCCTCTGAGAGCTATCAACGATATATACATTCAGGACGAGGATCTCGACAGAGCGATGAAAGACGAGGAAGAAAAAAGGCGGGAAGAAGAGAAGAGAAGGGCTGAAGAGTTTGTTCGTACGAATGTACCGGAAGTGCCTATTGGAATTCGTATACGACCCAGTTTGATACCGCTGGGTCCGATCATAAAAACGCCGACTTCGGATAGGAGAATTGTGACTTGCGTCGAGAAGAAGAAGAGAAAGTGTTTGTTGGCGAAGGGCGACGAGGGAGACGCTGTTATGGAGAAGATTCTTTGTAACACCGAGGATTTACTGTTGGAATTATTTTTCCCTAATTTTAAGGCGAAAGATCAGGTTTGTATTTTGGAGTGTTCAGAGGGAAGATTCGTGTCTTTGTTATTTGTGATATTTTCGTCGGCGTGACAGGTGCCTCAGGAAGACAAAAGCTCGGATTCTAAGTCGAGGAGTTTGAAACAAGGATCGATAGACTCTGAAACGACGACGATTAAGAAGAGTACGAGTGGTCAGAAGAAGAAACCGTTCCAGGATACTTTTGGTTTGAAAGTGAGCTTTCAGCTTTCTCTGAACTATTCAAACGTTAATAATCCAATTATTTTTTCTTCCATTTTAATAACAACGATACTTTATTGACGGACAAAGATCCGCGAGAGAAATTGAAATTTTCAATAACCTTCCATCACTATTAAATACATTTCTCTGAGACAAATTTTCATTTTCATCTGAAGCTTACCGAGGATCGAATTAGAACGCTCCAAGGTAACATGTGTCTCGAGAATCGAGCCAAAACCGAAGAGTGTCATTTCAAATCCTGCTTCTTCTCCGCTCTACTCTGCATTCTGGCGAAGATCAAGCTGGATCCAGATCGTTTCTCCGCAAAGATGCTGGACGAATTGATTTTTCTCGGCGATAAGATCTATCAGAAAACAGGAAAACTCAGATTCAAGCCGTACCGATGGTTCCATCACGTCGAGATCCTCGACACTCTTTACAACGTGATCACGAAACAAGCAGTTTACGCCGATCCAGAGAACTGCGAGGACGACGAGCTCGAATTCGTCATGGAGAATTTCTTCGAGAAAGACAAGACTGGAATTATCGTGTTCAACAACGGTTCCTACGCAGTCTGGACCGCGAATGATCGATACTACTTGTTCGATCCTTACGCCTGCGACGACAAGGTAAACGCGGTGGAAGAGGGTTACTCCTGTTTCGTGGAATTTTGCGATCTGAACTCGATGATCGATAAAATCGAGGCTAACGTTGGGGAGAGCACGAAGAAACCTTATCGAATCTACACAGTGGCTATAGCTCACATGGAGACGAGGAAACGCAAGAAGAAACGAAAGAGAAAACCTGTTCGATGCGTGGAGAAACAAGAGGAAGAGATCCGAGTGGAAGAACCACCGGAAGTGGAACTGTCCACCGTGTCAGAGGTTTCCTTGATCGAACTGGTCGATTGGGTGAAGAACGAGTCGACGACTAGCCTGGTGTACGACATGACGATCCCTGGTTTCGCTCCTATCGAACACTACAACGCTTCCATGTTCGACGTGATCGTTCTGGAGAACGAAATCACCATTCCGGTGTTGGCACAGTTCAAGAAATCCTCGTTGAGAGAGGCAGCAGCAGTCACAGACGAGTTCGAGGCGGTGAAACTGTTGGTCAGGAGGAAAGTGTACGACAGAAGGTTCAAGATTCACACAGCAGTCACAACACCGTTGGATCTTTGCGTAATGGCCTGGTCGTTGATCCACGATCCGATCACCTGGTCTGTTAGAACTGTGAGAGGATTGTTCGACGCCTGTGTCGATTACACGTTCGACAGCGTATTAGCCACAGAAGACTCAACTGTTGGCGATATGACCGATGGCTTGTTGCACGAATTCGAGATAGCTAATTACACTTTTCGAGTAGTCTTCGTACCTCTGCATTATGGAACTCTTTACAGCACCGAAGGCTGGAATCTCTCCATGTCCTTGCAGAAAGTGTTCGATACACCCAGTTACACCGGCGCGATCGTAGTTTGCGGTGATTCTCACATTGGTGTATTAAAGAAGGACGAGAATTATTTCACCTGGTGGACAATTCGAAGAACGAAGAACGTCAGGATCGTCACTTCTACGGATATGAAGGAGTTTCTGAAGCTTCTTATCAGAGAAATTGATCAGCCCGAGGAAGCAATTTTTATGATGAGAGTGATCACAGTGTCGTACGCTCAGAAAATGGATCCCGATTGCAGCGATAGACAAGGTCTTCACGAGCCTGTCGTTCCAGCCACTTCGTTGCCAGAAATTCATAGAATGCCGGCAGAACCGTACGATCTGGAAGCAATCTTCAGACCTACTGTACCGGAGTCTAATAAACCGATCTTTGTACTTGGAACGGTTGCTCTGAGCAACAGAGACACTGTCACCGAACCGAAAGTGAAAAGATGTTACTTCGTGGCTGTGTTGGCAGTTATGGTGAAGAGGGATATCATTCAGAGCCCGATGCCAGGAATGATAGACAAGATCGTCGAGGTTGCCGAGGCGGTTTACAGGGAATTTTCCGAGCCGAAATTTCACACAGAACATATCCTGCGTAACGTCACAGTGATGAACAGAATCTTCGATTTTCGCGACTGTGCTTCCCCTTTGGTGACGCTCACTTACAATCCTCGGACTCAGAGGACCGATTTTTATGTCCAGGTTAGCGTTTCCTTTATTACTATACAGGTTTTTACAGTCACAGGTTTTTTTTTTAATCTAATTTTTTGAGAAATGTGAAGTGATAGCAAGGTAGACCTTTTTTTCTAGTTAATTAAGAGATACAACTCATCCCAATTGCAAGACTCACCCTGCATAAAAGCACGCAGGTGAAGATTCTATTCTTTTATCAATCATAGGTAAGAAAGCACATGAGAAGGTTCTTTAAAACGTACGCGAGCGGTATTTTGCATTTCACCAACTGTTGCTACGGTTTCTGGTATTCGAGGCTAACGAACGCCTACTACTACTTGGATCCCTATCAATGCAACGAGAGAGGACGAAAAGTGTCGAACGGTGGCAAAGCTTGCCTGTGTATTTTCCCCACGGTGTGCCTAATGGTGAAGCACATGTGCTTCAATCAATTCGAGGAGACCACAGGTTTCTTCATTCATCGACTCCACGTGGACACGGTCAACGTGCCTCCATTCAAGACCTTCAAAGAAGACCCCATGTGGTTGTACCTCGATTATCATTGGAACTTCAGACACGCGCCGGATATCGTGAAATCCGGCACGAAGAAGAAGAAGCAAGAAGAACCGAAGGAGGAGCACGTGAAGCAGTTCTGGAACAATTACGCCGTCGAAGTGTCCAATCTAATTTACTCGGTATGGGGCACTATCGGCTCTCACGATTCTAGATTCGGCGATCGAGCTGGAAAGAATCAAGCTGCCATTTGCGTGGCTGTCCTTGCAATGCAGTACCTCAGTCATCCTTCGAGATGGGGTCCAGCGATCTTGGATTCAGCAGTGATCTGCGGAGACTCTTACTACACGGAGAGTCTACGAAGCTCCGTGCAAAAATGCGCCAAGCACTTCAACAACTTCAACTTGCAACCGTGCTTCAAGATCTTCCCTCATCTATGGACCATTGATTTCAAAGAAAGCATCTGTGGAATTCTATACGGCACGCGAAACCGAATGACTCTAGCAGTTGCGCTGCAGAAATCCTTCGAAGAATCACCGAACGTTCTCATAGAGTGTAACCGAATCACCTTGGCAGCTCTAGCTGCGAAAGACGGTTACTACGTGGCTGATCCTTGCTGGGTTGGTCCACCGTTGTTCGACAGAGATCACGGCGCGATCTACGTGCTTCGTTGCAGAAACATGAACTCCCTGATCTACGCTGTGATCAAAATGCTGAACACCAATCAGAGGCTCGATTTCCGACTGACACCGGTCACGTTCACGTTCGAACAGGAAGATTTCAGCTTCGCGGAGGGAGGCACTCGCGAGAGGAAGAAGAAGGTCCTTCTGGAGCCTGTGAGAACCACTCCGGGGAAAGTCGACGAGCCTAACGTGCTCATACCGGGTGCGCATACCGCTCCAGACGAAGATTCTTATCTCACTTACCATAAGAACCTCGGCACGGGTATACTGAAAGGTTACGAGCTGGAGAATCCTCAGCTGCCTTCCTACGAGCCGATGTTGAACCCGGACAACATGACCAGCACGTTTATCAGCACCACGTGGCACATAAATCTAGGCCAGGCTGAACCTCTGGAGAAAACTACGCCTGTCTTCGACCCTAGGCTCACCAGACACGTGCCGGAAGAGTGCGAGAAACGTGTGATCGACTCGTTCGATCCACGTCGAGCGGTGCAAACGTCGATCACGGAGTTCCTGGCGGCTTGTGACGATTATCCAAGAGTCGTAGACTTCACCAGCGAGCATTACGCGACGGAAAGACCGCTCGATTGTGCGGCTGCTAGAAGCTTCCTCACCGATACAGCGCGACGAGAATTCCGTGCTCATACTGCCGACATGGCTCACGACGTTTACAAGACTTACAAGCATCGCCTGCCAAAAGTGGCCAAGCCGAAAGCGGAGGATGAGACGTCTGGAATGGCGGGTATTCATACTATCAGCGAGGAGGACGTGGAAATGAGGGACGGCTCTCCTGAGACGGAGGGAGAGACGGAGGGAGAGATGGAGGGCACGGAAGATGAAACGGTGACGGAAACGGAAGCCACCGAGGAGGCTACTGACGCTGCTGAGGACGAGGATTAACCCTTTCAAATTTTGGTACTTAACGCGCGTGACAGATTCAGGTGTTCCACAACGGCTGGATATTTCTTATTCTTTTTTTTGGTGTATCGTTTTAAAATTTGTTTTATTGAATTAACGTGGAAGAGTGCAGAGGAGAAAATTATGGCTTTAATTAATATGGAGGTGCGTCAAAAGGCTCCAATAGCAGTGAAATGGTTGAATAGCTTTTGTACACAGTATTTTGAGTGGTCCTTTGAGTGATCTTTTTGTCTCATTTGTTGCTGTAGGAAGGTTCGATGAGATTAGCATGCATTGTCAGAAATTGAGGGTTGAAATTTCTGGGTATTTGTGTATTTATCCTGTGCCCTATTTTTTTCAAGTTTTTTTCTTGTGTTATAGGTGAAAATTATTGTAATTTTGCTACTATTTTCTGTGATTTTAAACGAGGGTTTAAATGATTTTAAATAGACTAGTTATTATACTGCTAGATGTGATTTTTATTTAATAAATTAAGAGCGTTTTGTGATCGAATAATTCTTCACTTGTCGTTTAGGAATGAAATAAACAAGACAGATTGATCGAATTGTAATTTATTTGACAAAACCGTACAAATTAGCAAGAAACGTTCAATGGTGGACGGCAATTAACAGTTAAAATTAAAACTTTACAGCAGAATGATGCGTAAGCAAGAGATGTTATTTAAAAAAAATTTATTCTATCTGCGATGACAATAACACAGGACTAAGCTTAGAATGACACAAATTGCAAAGGTTTCTTCTTTTTTTTTTTTCTTTTTTTAGCAATAGTAACATACGACAAGGTTACAACTAAATTGTCATAGAAAAATTATACAAGTATTTGTGTAACGCTAAGTAATATTAAAATACGCGACGCATCTTCTACAATGATTTCTCGCGTCTAATAATCATCGATACATAATATTCTTAGCGATATAAAAGAAAATCAATACAATTTATAATATATATCTTTCAAGCATACGTACATCCACAATATACAAACACAGTTTACACCGTTGTAAAGAAGCTTGGATCGTTCTGTTCTGATATGGTTGAAAAAGTGACATCGACACATCAATTTAACAATTATCTGCAATTATTATTTCTCCACAATACGATATACAGTACTGGCCAAAAGTTTCGAATCACTATGTAATTGCATTGCGGAAAAAGTTCACAACTTTAAGTAATATTTCATTGTGCAAAGCAATCGAAACGGAAGTAAATTGCTATTGATCCCACGACGACAATTATAAATTAAAAAACAAAAAAAAAAATGAGTAGCATACTCAACATTGGTGTAAATTGGCAGAGATCGTTCGAAACTTTTGGCCGGTGGTGTATGGTATATAAAAATTGAAAACACTGTGCATCTTAAATGAATCAGAAAAATTGTATAAAGAGTCAAAATTAGCCGTTTTACCACGAGCTTTCAATAACATTCACTCTTATATCTTTACTCTGTTTCAACTTTCGTAAAATTCGATAGACTCGATTAGTTCGTTTAGTATCTTGTACGTTATTTCACAGCAGCTTATAGGAAGCGAACTTTTCAAGCGACTTTCAAACGAGAACAGCACGTATACGATACAAATATTACATTTAGATTACATTTAAATGCGCGATAACAATATTAACAAGAAGATTTTAAGTACGTGGAATCCGATCATCTTTCGTGTTCAACTTTCATATGTAATCCACCACCGCCTCTTTCACATTCTCG